AATAAAAATATATATATATATATATATATATATATATATATAAACTTGAATAAATGAAGGAATGAATGATCATTTTCAGTCAATCAATCGCATGGGTAAAACAAATGTGTTGTAAATGCTAGTACTTCCTACCTGAAACTACTTGGTTATTTGTTAACATTATATCATGTCAGTAAAAATTAATGTTGCTGGAATTTTTTTTAATTAAAAAAATAATATTTTTTTACATTTTTTTTTAGACTAACATGTATTAAGATAGTAAATAGGATCAACTTTGATTTCACATTTGAGTTCATGTTGATTTAATGACTGCTAGTTAAATTTTGGAGCTGTGTTTGCATGAAAATCTGACTTATTTTATCGTCAAGCAATTTATATGAAGCCACAGTCTTGTTTCGGAAGATTTGTAGATGTGGCAAACAGTGGAGACGGGGCTGGTGTGTCTCTGAACGGGACTCTATAATTGGGAACGATTCTCGGGTCTCGGCACTAGTTTCAGCTTACACCGCTAGCCTCGTCCATGCACTTTCATTCCCACCGCGCATACGCACATATATCCACTTGTACATACGTGTATCATGTAACATTCCGGTTGCCAGGCAACTGCATCCTCCCCTGCCAGTATGAGCCGTAATTGGCTGGTGGCACAGAGGGACAGACGATGCCAGATAGAGCCGGCTCCACTGCTGCCTCCTACGTTATGCTCCTGCCTGGTTGCTAGGCGACAAACTCGAGCATCCGTGCCTCCCTGACTTATAATTGGCTGGTGCTGCAGTCGCAGGGAGCGCAGGTCTAAACCTGTCCTGCTTAATGTGGCTAGCTTGTGAATGTGTGTGAAAGGGAATGCAATTTAGCACTCAAATTCTGATCTAAATATAGCTTGTTGTTGTTTTTACAGCTCAGAATGAAAGTGTGGCCGTCATGGAAGGTTCTTCATGCTAAACAACAAGTCGACACAAAATGAATTCACAGTCCATTTTACTTGCATAGTGGTATCTGTTTCAAAGTAAACCTGATGTTTAAATGTAGTTTTTTTTTTTTTTTAATAAATTAACTTTTAAAATAAATAGCTTTAAAATGACCAAATAAATAAACTTTTAAAAATAAATAAATAAATAAATAAAGCTTTAAATTAAAAATAAATAAATAAATAAATAGTCTTTAAAAACAAATAATAAATACATATTTAAAATAAACAAATAACTAAATAGGCTTTTAAAATAAATAAATAGTCTTTATACATAAATAAATAGGTAACCTAATAAATAAAGAACATTTAAAATAAACAAATAACTTAATATGTATGTATATGCTTTTAAAATAAATAAATTGTTTTAAATAAATAACCTAATAAATAAATAAAATAACCATTTTAAAATAAACAAATAACTAAATATGCTTTTAATAACCTAATAATCTAATAACCTAATGAATAAATGAAAGGCTATTTAAAATAAACAACTAAATAGGCTTTTAAAATAAATTAATAAATAAGCTTTAAAAAAAATAAATAAATAAAAAATAAAAATAAAAATATATATATAAAGCAGCACACGAATAAAAATATATATATATATATATATATATATATATATATAAACTTGAATAAATGAAGGAATGAATGATCATTTTCAGTCAATCAATCGCATGGGTAAAACAAATGTGTTGTAAATGCTAGTACTTCCTACCTGAAACTACTTGGTTATTTGTTAACATTATATCATGTCAGTAAAAATTAATGTTGCTGGAATTTTTTTTAATTAAAAAAATAATATTTTTTTACATTTTTTTTTAGACTAACATGTATTAAGATAGTAAATAGGATCAACTTTGATTTCACATTTGAGTTCATGTTGATTTAATGACTGCTAGTTAAATTTTGGAGCTGTGTTTGCATGAAAATCTGACTTATTTTATCGTCAAGCAATTTATATGAAGCCACAGTCTTGTTTCGGAAGATTTGTAGATGTGGCAAACAGTGGAGACGGGGCCAGCTGGTTGACAGTAAATATGAGGTTCCTCCCCATTACCCATCATTACTACTCCAATTATCACCTCTCCCAGAGATCCAAATAAACTCTGCCTGCCCCCCATTTCATACGTTCCTTTCAGTGCGCTAATGAACGAGCGATGAGACCCCATACGAAGCGCAGCTCTCCTACAAGGCAGCTCCCATCCACAACGAAAACATACAACATCAAAAATGTGAACGCAGCCTCTCACATCTGTTAAACGCAGTGAAGAACTCATTGGAAGCTCATCGAGTGCGAGTTCATTTGGTCCAACAGCTGTGCGCTCTAATGACGATCATGTATTTCATAAACTCCAATTGTGTCAACACTCTTCCGATAGGCTAATCAACTTAAAACAAATGAATTAGACGGCTGGCTGGACCGAGTCGCTGATTTCAAGGCCCCACGAGGAAGAAAGTGCATTTTTAATCAGGTGTGTGTGCATCTGTTTGTGTGTCCTTATCAGGGGAGAAGCCATACAAGTGCTCATGGGAAGGCTGTGAATGGCGGTTCGCGAGAAGCGATGAGTTGACGAGGCACTACCGCAAACATACCGGCGCCAAGCCTTTCAAGTGCAATCACTGCGACAGGTGAGTCAAAACACCAGACGATCACTGTGTGACGCCTACAAATGCTAGCTGATATGTCACATTTTTTAAACTTCATATTACAACTTATTATACCTCATATAATAATATTACACTTCATAATATGAAGTGTGACATGACATCAAACAGTGACAATGCTATACTTCAAATTATTATTTTTTTTTTTTTTTTAAACCTTTTTCATTGTTGTATAATTATCATACATGCAATATGATTCAATTCAATTCAATTCAAGTTTATTTGTATAGCGTGTTTCACGATACAAATCGTTGCAAAGCAGCTTTACAGAAAATTATATACAATATGCAATATATTTAATAGTAGCTTATCAGTGGTGACTGTCATGTAATGTACATATGGCAGAAATGTGCGGAAAAATCAATTAAAGACGTAATCAAACAGACAACGAACACTATTAACAGCAATTATTATATGTTGCAATCAAACTCATAGCAAAATCTGGTAGTTCTGTATGTTGTTTCAGGGTTGGCATCAT